GGCGGCGGCGACGGCGGGGGGTCGGCGGCTGCTGCTGCGGGCGGCGGGGGCCGGGGCGGCCGAACGGGAGGAGCCGGCGCGGGGCCGCCGAGGGCTGTAGGCGGCGCCATGGAGCGGCCCGGCGGCGGCGCCGAGGGGGCCTGGGCCGCGCTGCTGGGCCGGCAGCACCAGGTACGGGGGCCGGAACGGGGCGGCGCGGGGCGAGGGCCGGAACGGAGCCGGCACGATCTCCGGGCGCCGCGCCGCCCCGGGCTCCGGCCCGGCCCCATCCCGGCCCCCGCCGCTCCCGCTGGAGCAGGCCGCGATGGGTCGGTTGTGCCCCGCAGGCCCGGGAGTTCTGCCCGGGGGTGAACAACCAGCCGTACGTGTGCGAGACCGGGCACTGCTGCGGGGAGAGCGGCTGCTGCACGTACTACTACGAGCTGTGGTGTGAGTGCGGGGCGCGGGGCGGGGCCGGGGGCGGCGAGGTGGGACGGACACGGCGCTGTGCCCGCAGGGTTCTGGTTGCTCTGGACCGTCCTCATCCTCTTCAGCTGTTGCTGCGCCTACCGGCACCGGCGGGCCAAGCTGCGCCTGCAGCAGCAGCAGCGGCAGCGGGAGATCAACCTCATCGCCTACCACGGTGCCTGCAACTACCCCGCCTCCATGATGGACCTCAGTGAGTGCCTCCGCCCCGCGCCCGCCCGTCCCCCGTTCCTCCGTTCGGTCCGGCCGCGCCGCGCTCACCCCCCGCCCTCTGCCGGCAGGGATGCTGGCCTCCTTCAAGCTGCCCGCCTACGAGGAGGTGGCCCACCGGCCCGGCACGCCGCCTCCGCCCTACAGCTCCATCCTGGCGCAGCTGAGCGGGCCCCGCAGCCGCCTGGGCTCCAGCAGCCTGACACTGTCGCCCAGCTCGGAGAACTACACCAGCTGCTCGTGCGAGTCGAGCTGCGTGACGTCCCCCAGCAGCACGTCGCTCTCGGTGCAGGTGACGGACGAGACGGAGCGCAGCCAGGCCAGCACGCCCAGCGAGGAGTGCGGCACCAGCAGCACCGGCACCGGCGCCAGCTGGGAGCTGCCCGAGGAGCCGCCCGCCCGCCCGGCCCCGCACAAACACGCGCTCTTCTCCTCCAACGTGGACTTCTTCGAGGCCGACTGCCACCGCTGCTCCGACATCGAGGAGGGCGAGGAGGAGGAGGAGGAGGAGGGGCGCGGCGCGGCGACGGAGGAGGGCGGCGACCATCGCCGGCACCGGCGGCTGACGGGCGACTCCGGCATCGAGGTGGGGCGCTGCCAGGAGGAGGAGGGTGGCGAGGAGAGCGAGGGCGAGGGAGCGCGCCTGCTGGGCAAGGCCGGCTCCGCGCGGCCCCAACGCGGCGTCCCGGCCGAGCCGGGCAGCGCCGAGCCGGGCGCCGCTCCCCTGCCCGTGTGAGGGGCCCCGACCGGCCGCGTGGCCTCCCCCGGGACACCGCCCCGCCCGGAGCGGCCTGCGCTTCTCCCCGCCGCCGCCGCGCCCCGCCTTGGAGCAGCCGGGCTGGGGGCACCGCGGTGCCGAAGCCGCCCCTGCTCAGAGGGCCCGGGCGCGGCGCGGCCGCCCTCCCTCGCCTCCGCTCCCCGCCGCTGTCCCCGGACTGTGGACTCTCGCCGCGGAGCCCCCGGGACGGCCCCGCCGGTACCCTGCTGCGGCACCGCCGCGCCCCGCGCCTTCCCCTCCGAACCGCTTCCGGGGAGCCGGGCCCCAGCCGGCCCGATCGCGAGGGCGGCTCCGTCCCGCTGCAGCCCGCGGGCCTGGGTGCGGGTGGCCGCGACCCCGGTAGCGTTCCGTCATCATTAAAGAGATGTGGAATCACGACCTCGCCGTGCCCGGCCGCGGGTCGGGGCGCTCGCCGAGCAGCTCAGCTCCCCGCGGGCGAAGAACCCCGCGCTGAGGCGGCGCTACGGGCAGCGGCGCGGGGAGAAGGACGGGGCTGGGCCGCGGCGGCCGTGCGCGCACGGTGACCCCCAACGCGGGCGGCGACGAGCGTCACATCCGAGCTTTATTGGCGGCGGAGGACCGGAGCCCCGGGCCCTGAGGAAGCCGCTAGTAGTCCTCGGCCATCGCCAGCACCACGAGCGCCGACCAGCCGGTGAAGGGGTGCGAGCCCTGCCCCCTGCCCGTGCTGTCGCTGTAGTGCTCCCACAGGTAGCCGCTCTCGGCGTACTGCCGGTACAGGTTGCCGATCAGGTTGTGCCGCAGCTCCCCGTACAGCCGCTCCGCCCGCTCGCGGTGCGGCCCCGGCCGGTCGGCGTAGCCGTGCAGCGCCCGCAGCGCCAGGTAGTTGATGTTGACCCACACGGAGCCCCGCCAGTAGGGCGGGTCGTGCTCGGTGTTGCGCCGCATGTACAGCGGGCTGTCGCGGGCGAGCGAGCGCAGGCCGAAGGGCGTCCAGAGCCGCCGCTCGTCGCGCATGGCCTCCAGCACGGCGCCCAGCCGAGGGGAGTCGGGGCGCAGCAGCTGCAGCAGCAGCGGGAAGAGGCTGACGTAGCCCAGGGCGTCCACGAAGCGGAGCCGGGGCGCCTCGCGCACCACCCGCACCACCCGCGGGGCCGGGGGGGGCCGCCCGGGGGCCGCCCGCACCGCCTCGCGCCGCAGCTCCACCGCCCGGCTGTGGTTGCCGAAGTCGGCGAAGGCGCCGAGCTCTTCGGCCCAGTGCAGACGCTCCAGCAGCTCGTTGTCGCTCAGCGCCCTCTCCGCGCGCCAGTACGGCTCCGCCGGTTCGCCCAGCCGCTCGGCCGCCTCCGCCAGCACCCGGGAGGCCAACGCCATCCAGCAGCGCAGGTCCAGGTGCCGCTCGTCCGCCGAGGGGTGCGAGGCGCGGGGGTAATCGTCCAGCCCCGACGCCAGCGTCTTGGGGTTGAGGAAGCGCTCGGGGTCGGCGTCGCGGCCGCGCCAGCGGAAGGTGTGGGGCAGCGGGCCGGCCTGCGTGCCGTTGTACCACTCGTACCAGGCGCGCAGGCGGGGGAAGAGGCGCCGCAGGTACGGCAGCGGGGCGGAGGGCAGCAGCGGCTGCAGCGCCAGGAAGAGCGTGGGGGGGTTGGCGACGTCGCTGTGCTGCACCACGAACTCGGACGGCACCTTGGCGCGCGCCTCGTCGCCCAGGATCTGCTCCCGCGGGATCCAGCCCTCGGCGTTCATCAGGTCCAGCCAGTGCGCCAGCACCTCGCGGCTCAGCTCCGGGTCCCAGCGCGCCAGCAGCAGCTGGTGGAAGCCTTCGTCCCACAGGAAGCCCCGGGGGAAGAAGGAGCGGGAGGGCACGGCGGTGAAGAGCGAGCTGTCGGGGTAAGGCGCGGGCTGCTCGTGCAGCGGGGAGCGCACCAGGGAGCGCCCGTGGAAGTAGCCCATCCCGCCCAGCATGTTGCTGAGCGCCGCCTGCGCGAAGCGGCGCTGCGAGGGGGGGAAGCCTTTGCGTTCCAGCCCGAAGGTTTCCTCGAAGCGCCGCTCGAAGGCGGCCTGGTGCAGCGCCAGCTCCGCCGTCAGCGCCGGCCCCAGCAGCGCGGCGCGCCGCTCCCGCACGCTGCCCGACTCGAAGGTCACCTCCACGCGGGCCGGCGGCCGCAGCGTCACCTGGTGCAGCAGGAGGTGGCTGCGCGGCGCCTCCGCCGTGCCCGGCAGCCCGCGGAACGCGTCCACGGCCACGAAGCGCTGCCGCGGCCCCTCCGGGGGGGCGAAGACGAAGCGGTCGCTCAAACTGCTCCGCACCACGTCGGTGATGCGGTGCAGCCCCGGGCTCCACGCGTCCAGGTAGCGGTAGCTGCGAGCGGAGAGAGGCCGTCAGCACCCCGCGGCGCCGCGGGGCCGGGAGGCACCGGGCCGTTGGGCACCTGCTGTACTTGACGCCCTCCCCGTCGTCCGCGGTGGGCCTGTGGAAGGTGATCTTGAAGTCGCCCAGCTCCTCCGACGTCCCCGTCACGGCCGCCAGCCGGGCGCCGTCCTCCAGGTGCGGCCGCAGCTCGCCCTGCCCGTCCGTGGCCACGTAGAAGAAGAGGGAGACCAGAGCGGCCTGGCTGCCCGCGCCCTGCGAGGGAGGAGGCGCGAAGGAGCGCGGGGCGCCGCGAACTGCCGCGGTCCGTCCTCGGGCTCGCAGCTCCGCGCTCGCGGCACCACGCCGGGCTGCGGCCCCACCTCCGGCCGGGCGGTGACGCGCCAGCTCCAGTCCCCGCCGTGCAGCCCCCCGGGCCGCTTAACGAACTCGGTGCGCAGCAGCAGCCCTCGGTCGTGGATGTCCTGCAGGCCGAAGCGCTCCCCGTCGTGCAGCAGCCAGCCGTAGCGCCGCAGCCCGTCGCTCTGCTCGCAGGTGTGCCGCAGCTCCGCGCCCTCCCGCTGCTGCAGCCACATCAGCCCTGAGGAATGGGGGGGGCGGCGGTCAGACCGGCCCCGGCCCCCCC